TGAGCACCCCTGGCGTACATGAAACAATTGTCTTAAACTAAATACAGGTCCTTCTCAAAATATTAGCATATTGCGATAAAGTTGATTATTTTCCATAATGTAATAAAACTTGAACAGTCATATTTTTTAATTCATTGCACACTAACTGAAATATTTCAGGTCTTTTATTGCCTTCATATGGTATGCTGTATGCTTTTGGCATACAGCTCATGAAAACCCCAAATTCCTATCTAACAAAATTAGCATATTTCATCCGACCAATAAAAGAAAAGTGTTTTTAATACAAAAAAAAGTCAACCTTCAAATAATTATGTACAGTTATGCACTCAATTCTTGGTCGGGAATTCTTTTACAGAAATGAGTGCTTCAATGCGGCGTGGCATGGAGGCAATCAGCCTGTGGCACTGCTGAGGTGTTATGGAGGCCAAGGATGCTTCGATAGACGCCTTTGGTTCATCCACAGTGTTGGGTCTTGTGTCTCTCAACTTTCTCTTCACAATATCCCACAGATTCTCTATGGGGTTCAGGTCAGGAGAGTTGTCAGGCCAATTGAGCACAGTGATACCATGGTCAGTAAACCATTTACCAATGGTTTTGGCACTGTGAGCAGGTGCCAGGTCATGCTGAAAAATGGAATCTTCATCTCCATAAAGCTTTTCAGCAGATGGAAGCATGAAATGCTCCAGAATCTCCTGATAGCTAGCTGCATTGACCCTGCCCTTGATAAAACACAGTGGACCAACACCAGCAGCTGACATGGCACCCCAGACCACAACAGTCCAGTGCTGCTTCTCTGTAGCCCAGGTCAGGCGCCTCTTCCACTGTTTCTGGTTCAAAAGTGGCTTGACCTGGGGAATGCGGCACCTGTAGCCCATTTCCTGCACACACCAGTGCATGGTGGCTCTGGATGCTTCTACTCCAGATTCAGTCCACTGCTTCCACAGGTCCCCCAAGGTCTGGAATCAGCCCTTCTCCACAATCTTCCTCAGGGTGTGGTCACCTCTTCTCATTGTGCAGCGTTTTCTGCCACACTTTTTCCTTCCCATTGAGGTGCCTTGATACAGCACTCTGGAAACAGCCTATTCGTTCAGAAATATATTTGTGTCATACCCTCTTGCTTGAGGGTGTCAATGATGACGTTCAGGACAGCAGTCAGGTCGGCAGTCTTACCCATGATTGGGGTTTTGAGTGATGAACCAGGCTGGGAGTTTTAAAGGCCTCAGGAATCTTTTGCAAGTGTTTATAGACCTTTTTCATGATGTTAATTTTGTGAGATAGGAATTTTGGGTTTTCATGAGCTGTATGTCAAAATCATCCGTATTAAGACAATAAAGGACCTGAAATATTTCAGCTGGTGTGCAGTGTATCTAAAATATATGAATGTTCAAGTTTTATCATTACATTATGGAAAATAACTCACTTTAACCCAATATGATAATATTTTGAGAAGGACCTGTATAACCAAATGCCAAACATGGTTGGCATTATTTTTTTTCAGCAAATCAGAGCTTTGCATGGACCATTTATGGTGTAAAGTGGGAGTGTGGGGGGGCAGAGCACGAGCATAGACGCAAATGTCAATCTCCCCTCTCTCCAGAATGTGAGCACATCTATAAATGGGTCAGATGCGTTGAGGACCACCGCATTTAATTTTATTTGACAGGAGCATCACAAACAGAAACAATAAACCTTTGCTAACGATGAAGTACAAAAAGTTTAAGTTTTGCTTTTTTGTAAGTCCCAACCTTTGCGTGGAAGTCGATATATGCAATTTTCAGGCCTATTTTGTGTGAATACAAGTTATTTAAATGAGACCACAGGTCGTCTTAGAAGATACAAGGCACCTATGAAGCTTCAGTTTGAGGTTTTAGCTACACCTATAAACATCAGAAATACAAACATTTACATTTTAGCCCTTGTAATGTTCTTTATGCGAACAATTGTTTATCTGAACTAATGAGATTTATTAGCATTCATAATTCTGTCATTTTTCTCCTTAGATGGAAAAGAACCATCAAGACCCGCGATTCGACTTCCGGAGGCGCAAGACGGATATCACAGACACTCAAAATCTCAAACTACGCTCAAAATAGACCTAAAAAAATGATTTATTTTATTCTTCCAAGTTTTTTTTTTTCCTTCTTCCAAAAATGCATCTTTGCAAGGTAAATCCCAAGTCAAAGCAAATTACATATTGATCATACTAATGAACTATAAAGGGCAAAACTGACAGCAGCTCATAAACCAAATGTCATGTCAGATAAGACAGAATCAATTAAGCCACGGAGCTGAATGAGGAAAATAAAACAATTTCCCAAAATTCAGAATACACGGTATCCATTAGACAGTCCATGGACCAGAGCAGATACTGAAGAGAAATCTTATGATGACAAACATATTCCAGGGGTTTTTTTGTTTGTTTTTAAGTATTCCAAGATGTGTGGAGTTAAACACTACTGTACTTTATACAGGAACAATGCAGTTCCGTTTGTGTCTTGATAGGACCCAGCTCTAAGTGTTTTTAAAAGGGATTCATGTTGTCTACATCGATTCAGAAATCCACATTTAATAATTCTGTATAAAATATATACATGTAACCACAGTCTGGATTGCACAGTCATGCTTAATCCTGTCCAGGAAATGAGCTCCCAATCCAGTCAGGTTTAAGAGCGACTCTTCATCTTCCTGCGAACAGACTTGCCTGGGCGTTTCTGAAAGTCCAAATAAATAATGTTAGTTGTTTCTTAATAAGCTCCTTTCAGAACAAATACAATTTTTCCTATGCATGGGACTCACATTTTTATTCCCTCCTTTGCCTTTCCTCCCTCCCTTGTCATGAGCGATTTTGGCACGGAAACCTGAAACATCATTGAAGCTCTCCTTGGTGTTCCATTTCTTTCCACTCTTTTTACCCCCAAAGCCAAACTTTTGGTCCTTGTATTTCCGCTTAGCATTGGGACTGTAAGGAAACAGATTTTCATTTTTTTTTATGCTAGGGTTTATCAAAAGACAAAAAAAATAAATAGATAAAAGTGCACAAAGTTCATAGCTTTTAAATAAAGCCAGACTGCACAACAAAGAAAATAATTACCCCTTTTTGTTTAAAACTTTCTTTGATCCATCAGAAGGATTTCTGGCTGTTTTCTGGTCTCCTTCCAAGAAATCCAGTTTGTCAGTCATTCCTAAAAGTGAGGAAAACATTTTTAAAAATGTAAAAGGAAACACTAAAAGACCTTAAATATTATATAAACAAAATAACAAGAAAGAAAAGAATAATAAAAAAGAAAAGTAGCTTAAGAAAAATCCCACCTTTCTGATATTTCTTCACAGCTGACATCATAGCCTTCTTCTCCTTCTGTCTCTTCTGAAGGACCTCTACTTG